AGGACAGTGGAGAAGTGAGCAAGGACAGGACCCCCAGAGGGGTCTGCCAGAGAGACTACAACTGGCCGACTAAGCGGCGTGAGTGTAGTGCGGTCTCGAAAGAAGGATCGAGAAGCCCCAGAGTAAAGGGTGAAGGTGAGGGAGGCCGAAGCTGACGCAGTACCTGAGAGAGCAGACTCACCAGCACCTGAGGACGCAGACCCACTAGCACCTAGAGCAGCAGCCTCGCTAGCACCTAGAGCAGCAGCCTCACCAGTACCTAGAGCAGCAGTCTCAATGCCTGGATCGGGCGGGAAATACCGGTACCAGTCACCCTCATCACTAATAGCCACAGCATACATGGCAGCAAGAATAGCATCAAAGTCAAGGTCAAAGATAGCTACTCCCGCCCTAGACAGCTCACCCCAGCGGGGGATCTGAGTGGCCTCCGGGAACTGGTGACGTCAAGCGTCCGTCAGGCGGCCAAAGCAGCGCTGGGTGGAGTGCGCACCCCCACACTGCTCACCCGCACGGTCGCCGGTGCGTAGGACGCAAGTGCACGGACCAGCCCCCTCATCCCGCTGGCGTGCAGCGTACCACTCACGGAGCTGCTGAGGAGGGGGGGATGTTACGAGTGCGCTGCTACTACTACTGCTGGCGCTGGCCACCACCGGAGCCGCCCCTCTGCGCAACGCCACCCCGACTAGCTCCGCCTCCTCCACCTCCGCCTCCTCCTCCGCCACCACCTCTGCCACCTCCGCTCCCACCGCCACCGCCGCCTCCGCCTCCGCCTCCACTGCCGCCATCGACACCTCCACCCCCGCCACCACTCCCACCACCACCCCCACCCCCTCCGCCGGCTCCACCGCCACCTCCACCGCCCCCACCAGCTCCTCCAGCGCCCTTGCCCCCCTTGCCCTTGACTGTGCGGCGCTTCCCCGAAGGGGCAGACGTAGCGCCGACCAACTCAAAACCAGCGAGGTCGGCCGCAGCAGCAGAAGCAACAGAGGGCAAGAGGGGGGGGGGAGAACACCCCTCAAAGACGGGGGTGCGGGGGTCACCACGATAGGCTCCTACAACGACTATGCTCTTCTCCACTGCTAGGAGGGCCTTCTCGAGGAGGTCAACGGTGAGAGTGGTGGGGCACACTGAGAGGAAGTGGTCCCTGACTACGCGAAGGGAGTCAGGGAGTTGGGTGACTATGTAGTAGAGGGTGATATACATGGGGGGGGGGGGTTCTTGGCGCAGATTTCAGCAGGAAGCGCAGCGCGGTAGCGAGTGTCACTAGTGCGGAGGTGCGTAATGAGGTCAGCGACTGTGGGAAAGGCAGCAAGGTCAGGGAAGAGGTACGGTAGCATGAGGCGGCTCAGTGCAGCAGTGGCAAGGGAGGAGTAGCGTGCAACTACAGCGTCGTACAAGGTCTGAGCACTCTTGTACTGACTAAAGTGCGCACGCTCAGAAATAGGCAGGTGGCCACGCACCGCAAGACGTGCAACAGCATCGCACATGGCCCACTGTGAGCGAACAGTGGCGTCAGCATCAGCAGCAGGGGCAGGAGAGGCACCAGAGGTGAGGTCAAAAAGAGAGAGACCGTCTGCCCTATCGCACTGTAGGAAAAGCTGCAGGTCATCTACCCATACGTCAAAGTCAATGGCCCGACCCTCAGCGTCAAAATTGAGGACACTAGGGGTAGCCATGACAGCAGTAGACTAGCAGCCCGAGTAGTAGGGTAAGGGCAGTGTAGTGACAGAGGCGCTGCTCTTACCGGACAGGGCGGCTCGGGCGGATCGGCGGCTCGGCAACTCGGCGGCTCAGGCGGCTCGGGCGGCTCGGCAAATCGGCGGCTTGGGCAGCTCAGGAGGCTCGGCAGCAACTGCGGCTAGGCGACTCGGCGGCTCGGGCGGCTCGGGCGGCTCGGGCGGCTCGGCGTTTCGGGCAGCTCGGGCGGCGCGGGCGACTCGGCAGCTCGGGTGGCTCGGGTGGCGGGCGGCTCGGCAGTGACGGCGGGGCTGCGTGGGGACGGTGGCGGGGCCGGCAGAGACGGCACCGGGGCCGCACAGGTAGGCGACGGGGCCGGGAAGGTAGGCGCCGGGGCCGCAGGTAGGCGACGGGGCCGCAAGTAGGCGACGGGGCCGCAGGTAGGCGACGGGGCCGCAGGTAGGCGACGGGGCCGCAGGTAGGCGACGGGGCCGCAGGTAGGCGACGGAGCCGCAAGTAGGCGACGGGGCCAGCAAGGGCGGGGCTGGGTCGGGAAGGGCGGCGTCAGGGCCGCGGGGTAGGCAACGAGGCCGTAGGGCGGCGGATTGGGGCCGGGAAGGGCGGCGCGAGGGCCGCGAGGTAGGCGACGGGGCTGCAGGGCGGCGAATCGGGGCCGGGAGGGGGCGGCGCGAGGGCCGCGGGGTAGGCGACGAGGCCGCTAGGGCGGCAGATCGGGGCCGTCAAGGGCGGCGCGATACAGCCGCTAAGGGGAGCGCGACCCTAGGCGCGCTTCGGGCAGGGGCGGCACGCGCCCCAGGCAGAAACAAAAGTTGGTGGGCCCTAGGAATAGTTCCCACGAGGGAACCTTCTCGATACCATGAGAAATTGAGAACAAGAGTAAATGAACTATGAAACAAGTGGGTACAAGTACTAACCGTAATTGGGTTGTACCCCCTATGGGATACCCCACTACAGCCTACACAATATGTATGAGCTACAATGTTCTGACACAATGCGTTTTGTTGATGCCCCTGTTCCATTGCAAGAGGCGCAACGTACAACACGACGTTGCGTACATCAGGTATCACAGGACGTCAGGGATAGCCGTGTTAGGATCTGGAATGGAATGAATGAACTAGAAAGCAGGTGGGTACAAGTAGGAAACCTAAAAGTGTTGTACCCTATAAGAACTACCCCACTACAGCCTAAACAAACTATAGCATATAAGTTTGACACACCCCCATAGGCTAAGTGGGGGAGAAGAGGTCACAAGACCAGTCTGTCAGAATGTTATGTTTTGTCTAGCCTGCATTAGGGTACTCAATAGTGAGTACAACCCAAATTAGGGTTTGCTATATGTACTCAACTGCTTGCTAGTGAAACCTCTCTTTCTTGTTTCTAAATTTCAACCGCTGTTTCTGACATGGTATCAGAGCAGGTCGGCCCTCCGGGGTCGATTCTGTACATGGGCCCACCTATGCTTCCGCTGTCAACACTGCGTATCGCGCGCCTCGGGCGCGCGCTATCTTTCTGCCTGCCGCGCGCCCATGGCGCGCGGCCCTTTTTCTTCTTGCCGCGCGCTAGAGGCGCGCGGCGGTTTTCTGCCCGTCGCGCCGCCCTGGGGGCAGCGCGACGCCTGATCTGCACGTCGTGCGCCCCGTGGCACGCGACGGTGCCCTGCCCGTCGTGCGCCCCGTGGCACGCGACGGTGCCCTGCCCGTCGCGCGCCTCGGGGCGCACAACGTTTTCGTCGCCCCGGGGGGCTCGTGCGCGGCCCCCTCGTCGCCCGTCGTGGCGCCATCGGGGGCCCGCGCGCCCCCCCCTTCCGTCGCCCGGCGTGGCGCCCTTGGGGGCCCGCGCGCGACCTCCTTTCGTCGCCCGTCGAGGCGCCTTCAGGGGCTCGTGCGCGGCCCCCTCCTGACGTCCGCAGTGGCGCCCTCGGGGGCCCGCGCGCGGCCCCCTCCTGACGCCCGCCGTGGCGCCCTCGGGGGCCCGAGCAGCCCCCATCCCTGTCGCCCGTCGTGGCGCCTTTGGTGGCCAGCGCGCGCCCCCAACCTCCTGACGCCTGTCGTGGCGCCCTCGGGGCCAGCGCGCGCCCCCCCCACCCGTGTCGTCGCCCGCTGTGGCGCCCTTGGGAGCCCACGCTGCCCCTTCTACAGCCCGCGTGCCGCCTCCTGTCCCCTCCTCCTCCTCCTCCTCCTCCTCCGTCTCCCATTGCTACAATTGCCGCTGAGGGGGGTGGGTGTGTGGGAGACGACGGGTTGATACTATGGGGGTGTGTCGTGGGAGTGAAACTAGGGGTGCAGCGGGGGGTGTGTGACAGGGGGGGGTGCGACAGTGGGGGAGGTCGAAGGGAGGTAGACGTCGTTTCGTCAGCAGCGCCAGTAGCCCGGAGGTGTGCCTCCGGTAGCCCAGCGAGCCTGCTGCGCCAGTCGCCCGTGGGTCCGTTGTCCTCACTGGTGACGCTGACGCCTCCTGGGTTGACGACTTGGCTGCGCAGCGGTCGTCACAGGGTTACACCTTTAGTCTTGGCTTTCACTCTGGGTAACCCAATCCGTTGTCACAGGGTCGCCGAGAACGTAGAACGGCGGCAGAGTGGTGTCAGTGCGTAAAAACAGTGACGGGTCAGCAGTGGAAGGAGCAAAACCAAGAGTAGCAAGAGTCCTCCTCAGTGTGTCGTGCCACTCACAGGGTGCCTAGCGGAGACCGTAGACTGGCCGCCGAAGGCTCCACTAGGTACCAGCAGGAAACGACCCAGTGAAGCGAGGTGGGCGGCACAGCCAGATCTCCTCGTGCAAGCTGCCCTGTAGGAAGGCTGTGCTGAAGTCAAGCGAGTGGAGCTCGTAGTCACGGTGAGTAGCAACGTGCAGCAGTACCCGAAGAGTGGTCATCTTCTAAATAGGGGAGAAGGTCTGGAAGAAGTCAACTCCCTGTCGCTGACTGAAGCCACATGCAACGTAACGCGCCTTGAAGATAGGCGGAGAACCCGGCGGCCGCTTCACCCTGAAGATCCACATGCCACTGACGATGTTCGCCCCAGGTGGGGGAACCTCGTCGACGTAGGTGCCTGTGGACTTCCAGGAAGCCATCTCAGCGTCCATGGCTGCCTGCCACTAAGAGGAGTAGGGACCCTCTATCGCCTCTGCGTAACAGCACGGGGTCGGGATGTCTGGTGCATCCGGGTCTCCCTCAGGGGCAAGCAGCATGGACACGACCCAGGCCGACGGGTGAACGTGGCCAGGTGGCGGCCCGTCCGAGAGCAAGTGCAGTGGGTCACACGCTGACCTCCAGGGGCGAACTGGTGAACCCACGCGTCCTGGAGGTCAGCTCCACTCACCAGGTTCGTAGAGAACGAGGGGAGGTGGAACCGTGGAAGAGTGCGCAAGGACTGGGCCCCCAGAGGGGTCAGCCAGGGAGACTGCGACATGCGGACTGAGCGGCGTGAGTGTGGTGCTGTCAGGAAAGAAAGAGCGCGAAGCACCAGAGTCAAGTGTGAAAGTGTGAAAGGCCTCAGTAAGTGCAGTACAAGAGAGAGCAGATTCACCAGCACCTGGAGCAGCCGACTCACCAGTACCTGGAGCAGCAGACGCACTAGCACTTAGAGCAGCAGCCTCAATGCCCGGGTCGGGCGGGACACTCAGGTAATAGTCACCCTCAGCACTATCAGTCAAAGCATACATGGCAGCAAGGATAGCATCGAAATCAAGATCAAAGATAGCCACATTCTGCCATGGGTGAAGGGTGATGTACATGGGGGGGGGGGGTTCTTGGCACAGAACTCAGTGGGAAGGGCAGCGCGGTAGCGGGCGTCACTAGTGCGGAGGTGAGTAATGAGGTCAGCGACTGTGGCAAAAGTGGCAAGGTCAGGGAAAAGGTATGGTCATGAGGCGGCTGAGGGCAGCAGTGGCAGGGGAGGAGTAGCGCGCAACTACAGCGTCGTACAAAGACCTAGCAATCTTGTACTGGCCAAAATGCGCGTGCTCAGCATTCGGCAGGTGACTGCGAATAGCAAGACGAGCAACAGCGTTAGGAGTGGTCCACTGCGAGCGAACCGTACTGTCAGCAGTGGCAGCAGGTGCAGTAGAGACACCGGACGTGTGATCGAAAAGGGATACCCCATCCCTAGAGTCACACTGAAGAAAGAGCTGCAGGTCGTCAACCCAAACGTCAAAGTCAACCACACGCCCCTCAGCATCAAAGGTGAGAACAATAGGGCTAGCCATAGTAGCAGTAGTAGAAGTAGAAGCAGTAGCAGCAGGAGCAGCAGAGACAGCAGAAGCAGCAGTAGCAGAAGGCCCAGTGCAGCTCGGTAGGGCGGCGCGGCTCGGCTGGGCGGCGTGGCTCAGTGGGGCGGCGCGGCTCGGCAAGGCGGCGCGGCTTGGTTCCTGGCGGCGCGGCGCGGCAGCATGCGGCGCGGCGCCAGGGCAGCAGGTGCGGGCAGCGCGGGTGCTTACCAGGGTCGGGTGCAGGGCAGGGCCGCGGCTGGCGGTTTTTGGTCAGGGCCGCTACAGCAGGTGCCTTGGCAGCAGGGGCCGCAACAGCAAAGGGGCCGCGACTTCAGGGGCCGTGACGGCAGAGGCCGCGACAGCAGGAGGGGCCGCGTTTGCAGGGGCTGCGACAGCAGCAGGGGCCGCGACAGCAGCAGGGGCCTCGGCAGCAGTAGGGGCCGCGACGAAACATGGGCCGCGACAGTAAAAGGGGCCGCGACAGCAGGGGCCTCGACGGCTGGGGCCACGACAGTAGCAGGGGCCGCGATGGCAGCAGAGGCCACGACGGCAGCAAGGGCCGCAGTAGCAGCAAGGGCCGCAGCGACAGTAGGGACCACGACTGCAGTAGGGGGCGCCACAGGCGGCGTCAGCAGTGCTGCGACAGGCGGCAACAGCAGGGCCGCGACAGCAGGGGCTGCGACTGGCGGGTGCCGCGACAGCAGCAGGGGCCGTGTCGGCAGTAGGGGCCGCGACGGCAGTTGGGGTAGCGACGGCCGGAAGGGGCCGCGACGGCAGTAGGGTTCGTGACGGCAGGTAGGGACGTGACGGCAGGAGGGGCCACGACGGCAGTAAGGGCCGCGGCGGCAGCAGGGGCCGCTACGAGCGGCGACGGCAGAGCCTCGACGGGCCAGATAAGGCAGTGCGCGAGGCACGCTTTGGGCAGGGCAAATGGCACGCTTCGGGCAGGTCAGGAAAAAAAATCGTGGTGGGCCCTAAAAAAAAACGTTCCTACTAGGGAACCTGCTAAGAATACCATGTTAGAATCTGGAACGAAATGAATGAACTAGAAAGCAAGTGGGAACAAGTAGGAAACCTAAGAGTGTTGTACCCTATAAGAACTACCCCAGTACTGCCTAAACATACTATAGCATATAAGTTTGACAAGCCGCAATAACAGGGCGCGTGCAGCTGCGATGGCCCGCAAACGAGAACGCATTCTACGCTACTGTATTCCTATCGCGCATATCTTGCGCCACGTGAATGTGGTGAAGTTGTATGATCCTGAAGAGCCGGATGTGTACATGCGGAACAAATACATAGTGTAATATGTAGTTACGACTAATAAGTGCATTATAGCATTGTAGAAACAAATTATATCGATAAGGTATGGGTTTTGAAACAATTTTGAATTCATTTACCTGCACATAAAACGAAGCGTGATGCAATGTCGAAATATACCGAACCGCTGCATTTCCGAACCGCAATGTTTGAAAGCGAATGTACACTCGCACCTCGGACGAACTGAAAAAACAGGCTAGAAACATGCCACGTGAATTTCGTGAGGGCGAAATCGAGTGCTTGAAATTTCCGTTGGTGTTTCAGTTGGTTCGCGCTTGAAAATTGTGTTACTTTGCGAAACCAAACCACAAAAATGGAGGAAGATTGTGATGCAGTAGCCACGCAGGGGGGGGCAGTGGAGGAGGCAGCAGCAGGCGCCAGCACGGTGGGCACTGAGGTGGCACAGGAGGTGGCAGGGGCGGTGCAGGGGATGGCTGACGCCGTCCAGGAGGTGGCCGAGTGACACATAGTGCGGCGGTGGGGATTGCGGTGCAGAGTGGTGCAAGGGGGTTGGTGAGAGAGCAAGTGGACGCCCTGGTGGTGGATGCAGATGCACGGTGCGAGTGCAGGCAGGGGACAGACTGTGGCGCATCTCACAACGATGCCAGGTGATGGGCGAGTGACACGAGGGGCAAGGGGTTGAGGGGGGAGGGGCTGAACTGAGGGGTGGTGAGTGGATGAGGGGAGGCAAGGGGCTGGGGGGTGCATGCAAGGCATAACACTTCACCACAAAGTTCTTCCCATGACTCCATTCCGTACGCCTGATGCTTACCTTGTATGATGCTCTTCTGACCGAGCATTGCAGTCAACTCGCCCATTGCATTGCATTCGCTCGTGCTGGCAGGTGCTGCTGGAGGCGCTGCGCAGGGCAAACCCTCAGGTGCATGGGGATCGGGTGCTGGAGGGGTCGTACCTCTCCCTCCCATACGACGAATTGGTCGAAACCCAAGTAGTGGCGTTGGAGTAGGATTGCTGATAACCATGGTAATCAGTTGTTGTTGTAATGTATCATATGTTTTTCATTCATTGGTTTCATTGCTTGCTCATTCAAAATAAAATGATGGAATACATTTGCTCGAACGTACCTGGAAAGTTGTAACGAGGAAGACTGTTTTGGAGGGCATCAACGTGCGACCCTCCACCCCGTCATGTCACCCATCTCCCCAACCTCTACTGAACTGAATCGAACCATCATCCATCAAGCCTCATCACTCCGCATGCTCCAGTCAGGCAACGATGCCGCCAACCGTGTCGCCCATGCGCCTGCCAGTCGTCAACTGGCCGCTCAAAGCCGTATTGTTTTCCCCTCCGCGCTGCACAGGGTAGCACCCGGCACGCTGAATTGCTTGTCACACTACTGCTTGATAAACCACGAGTCCTGAGCTTGGGAGGGTGAGAGAGGGCAAGCGGGGCAGCACGAGAGGCAAGCCAGAGGCGGGCACGTGGAGCAGCACGAGGGACGGCGATGCGATGGATGCGGGCGACAATGGGGTGAACGAATGGCACGCGGCGCTGCTTGAGGCGGGAGCGGCGGCAGCTGGTAGTGACGCCCTTGGGTCCCCGGCCGAAACACACCACTACTGACATTGTTTTAGCTGTGAAATTACGCAAACAGTTGCACGGGCTCGTTTTAGTTGTCTCGCTATAGTTGTAAGGCCTCGCTATTGCAACAGCTGCAGGCGGCGCGTGCGATCTTCGCTGCGCGCAAAGCCGTCAACGAAACGCGCAGAGGGGCGGAAGCGCGCTAGCGCTCTTTGCGCGAGAAGGCGCAACGGGGACTGCACAGCGCACAGCAGTCTTTGGCGGAACGAGGGGGACGGTTGCTAGAGGAGCGGGCATGGCGAAAGAATGGCTGGTATGATGATAACGGCGTGTTGCAATTCCCAGTGCACTGCATCAGCTTGGCTCATGGCACGGGTTTTGGAAGGCTCCAGGCAAGCAGGAGGCCGAGTCAGTGCGGTGCACTGACTTGGCACGGCATGCCCCGAGCCGAGTTAGTGCACTACGTTGCCTTGGCTCGAGCCAGCACGACTTGGCTCCAGGGCTCTGGTTATCAGACCAAGTCGGTCTGATGGTTTGATTTTCAGACCTACAGTTTTTCTTTCATATGATTTCTAAGACAGTGATTTTTATTTCGTCTGATCCATAAGACTAGTTATTTTAGCTCGTCTGATTTTTCAGAGAAGGAGTTATACTTCATCTGAAATTTCAGATAGCGGGTTTGTTTTCGTCTGACACCACCCCTCATTCTTCCCCCTGCTCCCCCCTACCATTCTCCCCCCTACTCTCCTTCCCAAATCCCTCACTCCTCTACACCAGCCCACCCATCCCCTCAAGCCCTTCGTTCTTGTTCAAGCCATACTCCTACCCTTCTCCCTGTGAAATCCCGTGGCCCTTTCTCCCCGCCCAGCCCCCTTCCCCATATCCATCCCCCGTATCTCCCAGCCCAACCCCCTTCCCCATAAGTCCCTCCGTCCCCCCTGGTCCCTCGCATCGCATGCATCTCGCATCTACAGTATATTTCTGTACGGTCCCTCTTGCCACATGCGTCCCATCCCAACACATCCCTCCTGTTGCCTCCCTCCCAACTTGTCACTCGCCTGTCAGCAAGCACACTGTCAGTGCCGCACCACCGCCTCCGTCATAAGCAGGCCCTACGATATCATGAAATTTTACCCAAAATTACTGATTTTCAGCCTACTTTTGTGCACCTACACTGATTCTTCAGTGTGTAGATTTTTCTGATCTTGATTTTTCATAGTTAACACTGAATTTTCAGCCTTTTATCGAAGTGTAGAGTGAATGCACATACCTAATCCTTCCTGGAAAATGCTCGAGATGACCAGTACTCCAACAAGATTTTTTCAGGGTGAATATCAGGGTTTTTTCTTGAAGAACCCTGAAAAATCAGCCTTTTTTTTAGGAACACTGAAAATCAGCCTTTTTTTCACAGGGACCCTGATGCATCAACGTCCCTAAAAGTGAATCCGAGGGCCTGGTTATAAGCTTCAGAAAAATAGAGTTGAATCACGCTCAACAAGTGTTTTAATTAAATCTGACTAAGCAAAATATATCGTATGAAAAATCAGACAGAGTCACACAGCTCCAACTTTCATATGAAAAATCAGACAGAAAAAATTGGCACGTCTGAACATCAGACGAAACGATTTTTTCATTTATATTCTCAGATGGGCCTAAATCCTAGCAAGAGCCCTGCCTGGCTCGTGCCTGCAAATTAACACCTTCTGCCAACCCGCCACTCTGCCCTCGCCAATCTTCAATAGTCGCCAATAGCCCGGGTTACAGCACTCTTTTCGACACTTGAGCTACAATGGTTGAATTTAGCAGGTTACCATAATCCTATCTAGGAATCCTAAATCCCTAACCATTACGATGGTCATTTCTCTTGTTGTTACAGTTCATTTCTAGAGCCGAAACCCTTTTGCTAGGAAATTGTGCCAGAAAACATTTTTCCACCTGTTGGTGTTGGTGGGGCGATTTCCTAACTCGTGCCAGGAAATCGCGTCACAGTTACTTGGAATTTGATGATGAAATTTTGAGGTTTCGGAGGCACGAGGTTGGCACGATCTGGCTCGTGCCAAATCGAGCCGAGCCGATGCAGTGCACCGGGAATTGCAACACGCCGTGATGAGCAGCGGATGTCTCCGTGCACTTGT